CTTGCAGCGGGCCGGGCGGGGCTTGAGGAAGTTTGCGTGGTGGCTGTGTTGAGCATCCCTGTACCAGCCGCCACAAGGAATCGAGGGGCTGCCCGGTGCTTCCGCGTCTCTGCTATCTTCCCTCCCGCAGAGGGTCTGTTCACGGCTCCTCTAAGGCACCTGTGTTTCCTTTCGGTGCTGGAGCGGATCTAACTCAAGGGAAGAGAGGAAATTAAACGGTGCAAGGAGATCGGATGTGCGGGCAGTCTTGGATAAAACCTTTCACTAAAGGTAAGAATAAAAATCATTCCCAAACCGCTGAAAGGCGTGAACACAACAAAGCTCCAGTAGACATTCCATAGAAAGTTTCGTGGCAAGGTGTAGCTTTTATTTTGCAGGGAGATTCTACCGAATCTACTTCTTCTCATTGAAATGATCTGAGACAACAGGTTCAGGACTATTTAAAAGAGCGCGTACTTGGGAGAGTGGTTTTTAGCGGTATTCTTAAACACCTGGATAATTGTTGTTGTTAGTTGCAGACAGCAACATGGATGCAAAGGTTTTATTTAACCAAGTCCTGTTAAATTAGTGGCGTGGGTGGTATGTTTGTGAGCATAGCTGCCTTCCAAGCGTTGATTAGGCTGAAATAAACAAAATCCTGTGTTCTCTGCAAGGAATTTTTGACATAACTGTTAAAACATTTTAATTCTTAGAATGTGAATATTTCTCCAAGTCCAGTCACCTTAATCTTTTATGTATTTAAGAGGGTATTAGGAGAAATCATGATTTAAAATAATTTTGTTATACAAACTTAAACATATAAATATGGCATTCCAATAGTTCCGAGAGCCATACATTCATCTAACTTTTGAGTCTATGGGCTATTTCCCATATTCAGACCTCAATCTCCAGGTTAACTCTGAATCACCAATTTATAGACTTGCCCTGCCACTCCCCATAGGATAGTCCCTTCATGTTCTGTGTACTTTCATTACTTTGAAGTCCCTGTTGCTTTCTGTTTGCCGTTTAAACAACGGTAATGGAGGGAAATGGGTCCTGGAAAGGAGCCCACAGTGGTTGAGCACTTGACTCCAGTGGTTTGAACCCACTAGTAGCTTTGGAGGAGAAAGCCATGACAACCTACTTATGTAAAGATACAGTTTTAGAAACCATAATACAGTAGCTTGACTCCATCCTATAGTGCTCACTGGAGGCAGGAATAATGCTTTGCCTCATTGCTTTGGGAGGACATGATGCTAGGAAGTGTGGAGGGTTGGTGGTGAGGAAGACCCTCGACCAGGTGGATTAATAGGGTGACTGCCCCAATGGGCTTTAATGTGTCAGGGAAGTGTGAAGATGGCATAGGACCAGACAGGGGACAGGGTTTTCAGATCTGTTCATAGGGTCGCTATGAGTCATACTCGATTCAGTGGCACCTAACAACCACAACATAGGGTCACCATGAGCTGGAGTCAATTGTACAGCAAAGGTGATTCCCCCCCCCCTTCCCTTTCTAAGCAAAGAAAAGGGTATATTCCACTGGATTGGCTAATGCTACAGGGTGGCTTTGGACTCAATGACTGTCAGCTCAAACACTATGCCACCCCACCTCTCCAAGACTTGTTTTCTCTTCTGCAAAATTAGATTTAAGTACTAGCTCATAGGAGTTTGTAAAAGAACGAGAGAGTTTATGCAAAATGCGGAAAAAGTATATGCGGGGTCTAGCCCATACTACTAAACATGTTAATCTTCTAATCTATGAGCTATTGTTATCTAGCTGTACTAGACTATCATGGTAATTCTATGCTTAATGTACAAAATATATTCAGCTTGCCATATTTATCTAGGTGTGAAAGCAATGCTATGGTTGTTTAAGCCCAGCCAACACCAGAAAAGGGGGAAGGCAGGGAGAAATATAAGCCATGGAGAGGGGACAATATTAAGCAGGGAAACTATTACATAGTTTAGGGCCATCCTCCTAGGATGAAGGCATGAAGAAAAGTTGTGATAGTGAGAGGGCACCAAGATGGGAAGGAATGCATGGTTCTATTTCAAATGGTACAGAAGACTCCAGATGACTTAGGAGTGCCTGGGAAGTAAGGACTTTCAGTTCTCTAGTCTTTTTACATGGCTTTCCTCTCTAATCATTGCTCAGAGGCATTTCCCACAAAACTTTTATATAAAATGTTTTTTTTTAAATTGGAGAAACTATGAAATTTCTTGTTTTCAGCTGAGGAGTGCCATAAACCATTAAGTGAACCTTCAAGCTAACTGAATGGTTGGCTGTTTGATTCCACTAGAGGCACCCAGTGACCTACTTCTGAAAACCCTGCCATCACAAACCCTATAGAGCAGTTTGCCCCAGACACAAGTGCAGCTATCTTGAATTGGAATTGATTCAATGGAAATTCTTTTCTGGATTTTTCTCCAACAAAAGCTAGTTTGTTACTAAAATTCTTACTTTAAGAATTTTAAATTTCGGAATATTAATGGTCACAATATTTGTGGTGAAGTATACAACTATCTCAGTTCTGGAGGGGGTTCTAAATTTTGTCTAAATTTTTCAAATAATAACATTTTATTCATTCCAAGTTTAAAAGTAGCCAGAGAGATTTGTTAAAGTAATGCATTCAGGCTATAAGATGAAAGGTTCTGGCACTGCCTACATAATTTGTCCATTAAAATAATTTATTGTTACCACCACATATGCATGTGAAAACTGGACACGGAATAAGTTAGAAGGTATAATGCATTTGAATGACAATGCTAATGAATAGTGAATGGGCTTAGAGAATGAACAATCTGGGAAGAACTACATCCAGCATGATCCTCAGAAGTAAGGATGCTGACACTTTTACATACTCTAAACGTATTAGGAAAGATAAGCCCCTTGAAAAGGATTTCATACTTGGTAAAAGGGAGGGCCAGTGAAAACTAGAAAATTCTCAGTAAGATATACTGACTGAAGTGGAATCAAATATAGCAACAATTGTGAGGATGGCACAGGACTTGTTAGTTTTCTGTTTCTATTGGACAAAGAAACGAATCACAATCATTAAGCTATGGTCAGGCATACCCCAGGCTGACTTTAATTTAGAAAAACTCTAGATTCAGATATCCTTAGTATTTTGTCCATTTTTTTAGTTATTGTTTTTATGTGCCATTGAGTCACTTGTGACTCATAGTGACCGATGTACAGTAGGCTTGAAACCTGCTCTATCCTGTGCAAACCTTACTGTCTCTGATACACCTACCCTCATTACTCCAGTCACTGAACCAATCCATCTCATCGAGGGTCTTCCTCTCTTGAGCTGTCAGTTTTTAATAATATAATTTTCAGTTTAAAAACTATTTTCTATGGATATATATTGACTTTTGGGTTTATTTTTTATCTTTCAGTACTGTATTTTAAACAAACAAAAAAATTCCAAAACCAATAATGTAGTACTTTTATCATGAGAAAAGAATGTCATTACTTTATAAAACAACAACAAAATATCAATGTTTGCTTTATGTTTTAAATTAGAGTCCAGAAAAGCCAAGTTTAAATTCTTGGTCCACCTATAAGCACCTTTAGGACATCAAGTTATTTTACCTTTTGGGGTTCAAATTTCTCCACCTGGGAAGTGATTATAAATCTTAAGAGGAATTTCTGTACAATATGTAATCTTTACAATAGTAAAATGTATGTTTTGTAAAAACACTTTTCTAAAAACATACTTTTCCCTGTGAAAAATGTGATTATTATTAATGTAACAATTACAGCATACATTAAATTTATGAAACAATAAATGTAAAATCAATCAATACCAATATAAAAATTGTTTGTAAGCTATTTTGAGTGGGAGATGTTGGAGCAATCACTTTTAAAACATAAAAGCTGATCAGAAGGGGCCTGGTCCACAGAAGATGTTTATTTCATGTAACAAAACAATACAGTTAGTGTTAGATCCAACCACAGAGAGCAAAAGGAATGAAAAATTTATACAATGCACATAGAAAAACAAGATATTTACTGTGACAACTACATATTCCTAAAATAATGCTTCTAAAATTACTCAATTATTAAAATCTACATGAAAACAGAAAGATGTTAATAGCGACAAAGTGCATAAAACCAAACATCAAATTTTGAGCAAATTAATATACTAGGCAATTTTGCTAATAATACATGATATTTTTGTTTACAATCTGCTCAAAATACTTTTATACCAACAGGGTGGGCAGAACATTTAAGTTTAATATCAATTACACAATAGTAGCATAAACCTTCACAACTACAGATAAGGTATTGGTTTTATTAATTATTTTTTTCTGAGCTGGAAAACTGACTACAGTAACATAGATCATTTCTCTGAATTGAGAATTTTATCCAAATGCTACATACCTTCCAGATATATGTATATCTTTCTATATCATGTAAATGGCTTTACCCATTTAAATAATAAACCATACAGCATTTAAGAATCATTATATGATTAACAATGACAAGTTCCAGGTTTAACAATTTCATAGGCAAAAAAAAAATTCTTCTTAAAAACTAGTTTTATAAATGCAGAATATATTGCATGAGTAACTGCTGGTATTTTTTTAAGAAAATATATTGTGCAATTGTGGCTACCAAGTACTGCTGGCAAAGCATTATTGTTTATGTGAAAAAGAACTTGAGTAAAAATCTTTCAACTGCCTATCATCATGATGAAAGGTTACTTGCCTTCTTAAAAAAAGTAAATTGGCATCTCCTTGGGGGAAAAAAAATCTGTTGCAGAACAAATTCCCTAGCCAAAAATAAATAAATAAAAAGGTGCATTTTAAAAAATGATGCTACTGCAATGTAATGATTTCAATACCAAAGAGCTGTGAAAATGTGTTGTCTGTGATCTGCTATTAAAGAGCATACTAAAAAAAAGATTAATGTAAATTAAGTAAAAAGGGGATCAAAACCAAACTAACTGAGTTTGTGCAGTATTGTAGCCAGGCTTCTAAAATTAGGTATAGAAAATATAAATAGACTGCTTTAGGTAATGAGCCACCAGTGTCCAAAAAAAGGAATGAGATTATGAAAAAGCTCAATTAACTTGATCCAAAGCTCTGAGTAATTCTTCACCCTGCAGTAGGTTTCTGCTGCCTTGTATGGGCGCATTAACTTCACAATCATAACTGGTCAGCTGTGGCAGTCCACTCTCATCCATTGATTGCCCCAGCAGTCTACAGGCTAAATCTGAAAAAGAAAAACAAAACCCCCCAAAAATAGCTAAGAAATCATTCATGTAGTCAATATTTATTAAATACTCACTATGCAGTAGGAATTGGGACTATTAAGTCTACAACCATCTAGAACATTTTTTATTTATTCATCTCTCGCCCTTTCTCTCATTATTAAGTAGGAACTGACTTATTTATAGATGATCCATCAGTGAGTTTTCGAGTAGTTTGCCCAACTTTTTCCATTTAAGCTGCTAGTAGATTCGAACTACTTAGAGAAGCAGTACTTTTGGTTAGCAGGGCAACTCTTTATGCACTAGGCCACCAAAACTCTCTATTCATCTAGTCAATATTTATTAAATATTCACTATGCAGTAAGAACTGGGGAAATTACAGGAAATAAGCATTTTAGAAGAGTCTGGGTTTTTAAATGGCAGAACCATCTGTATGCAGAACAGATTATCTGAGAGGCTGGGCTCTATGAGGAGAAGTGTGGCGTCAGGATTGGTGGAAGATCTATCAACAATCTGCGTTATGCAGATGACACAACGTTGCTTGCTGAAACTGAGGAGGACCTGAAACACTGCAGAGGGTGAAGGACTACAGCCTTCAGTATGGACTGAGGCTCAATGTCAAGAAGACAAAGATTCTGACCACTGGACCAATTGGCAGCATCAGGATGGATGGTGAAGAGATTGAGATTGTTAACAACTTTAGTCTGCCTGGCTCCATGGTCAACACTCTTGGCACTAGTAGCCAGGAAATTGAAAGATGTATTGCGATGGGAAAGTCTGCTGTTAGGGACCTCTTCAGGGTACTGAAGAGCAATGGTGTCACTCTGGAAACTAAGGTGCATGTCACTTGTTATGCATCAGAGAGTTGGACAATGACTAGGGAGGATAGAAGGAGAACTGATGCCTTTGAGCTGTGGTGCTATAAAAGAGTATTGAATGTACCATGGACTGCAAAGAAAAGAGATTCATCCTGGAGAGGGTTAAACCGGGCTGCTCCTTGGAGGCAAGGATTCTTGGGCTTCATCTGACATACTTTGGACATGTTGTAAGGAGGGACCGGTTCTTGGAGAGGAACATCATGCTTGGGAGGGGGTAGGGACAGCACAGGAGGGGAAGGCCCAGTGACTGGGGTAATCAGGATGGGTGTGTCAGAGGTAGTGCGATTGGCACAGGATAGAGCAGGGTTTAGGGCTGTTGTACATAGGGTCGTTATGAGTCGGCAAGCAACTCGACGGCACATAACAACAACAATGAAATCACAGATAAAGACATAGCAAAAATGATTACTAAGAAAATGAAAACACCATTTTGAAATATTTGCTCCTGAATTATTGTTACAGATGAGATGCTACTTCATTTTTCAACTTTGCTTAAGAAATCAGTCACTCTTACTTGTAGGAATGCTCCTAAATATATTTTAATTGTTTTTGTGTAGCTCTAGAGGGCAGAAATTGGAAACTAACCAGAAGGTATTAAAATAATTGTCTTTTGCTCCATTCCATGTTGTTCACTAGATTTGCATCCTTTTACACGTTTCCAAGAAAGAGATGTAGTAGTTGCACCGTCATTTGGCTGTTGTAGTAAAGTTCCCTAAAAACAATAAAGTTACTTTAATTTTATGATGATGACTTTTAAAAAAGGAAAAACGGAAACAAATTTAAATTTAGTAACAGTATGTAGGCAGGTTCCTTAATACTATTATTATCAATTATTCTTATCTCTCTTAGTCATATAATAATGCCACTTGCCATCCATTGTGACAAATGTTTTACAGTAAATTTGTACAGAGAAAATCACTTTAGGTTGACTTAATTATGGGTTTCAATAGTACAAATCCACCCCCCTACACAACACTAATTATTTTTATAGAAGAACATAAAAAGAGAAGGGAATGGGAGTGATAGTAATTTGGAGAGCAGAATTAGGGGAGACTTAATTTTTATTAAAAATGCACCTGTATTGGTTGGAATTTCTATAAAAAAGGATATTCAGAAATAGTATTAACTTTGGTTAGAGTAGCATATACTCTTTCACTTACAATTCCTACCGCTTGAAAGAGTGAACCATCATGCTCCATTTTTCGCTTTCTTTGAGCATTATGCAATGCTAATATCTTTGGATTAAGTTCTTCCTCAGAAACAGTTGTAGTTCTGAGGGGGGGAAGAACATGAAATGAAAATAATGAATATTCTATTACCATTATTAAAAAACCCAAACCTTACTTAAATAAAAAGATGAATGTTAAATTTCCCATTAACAAAAGATAATGCATAGAACTTTCATGATTATTAAAGTTTATAACTGAAATTGTTCAAAACTAAATTTAAAAAAAAAAAACATTTCCTAAAATATGCATTTATCTATTTTCTTAAACAGACCAAACTAATGCTTTTGTAAGTAAAAACATCTTAGGATCATTAAAATGCATAATGATACTTAATTTCACACTTATACAGCAGTTTCCCCTTCATAAAACATTTCATGTTCATTAGTTTATCTTAACCTCATTCTAATTACCAAGATATATAAAATAGTTATTATCAAGTAAATGTGATTAAAAATTAATTGCTAATAAACTGAAGATACAGATACAATCTACATCTCTTGATGCCCACCTCCCTCTCTGTGTTCTTCCCATTGTACTATGGTGTCCTCAATACTGGATCAGATAATCAAATCTGAAATGTACATAAAAATACGTAGTGAAGAACTATTTTATTAGTACTATACATCAATTTTTTATATCTGGTTTGATAGGCAATCTCCTGTGTGACTTACAGCTTGGGAAAACTCACTGAGGATCAGCTACGAGTCAGTTCTGACTTAGAGGCAGTGAGTTCAAGTTTTAAGGTAGACTTTCAGAGATTTGTTGCATCCCCACCACCCAATTAACCAAATGGCTTTTTCAGTTCACTTAGCTTTAGGCTTAGTCATTTATTATTCTAACTTTTGTCAAATGTTTAGTTTTGAGGGGTTTTTAATGTGTATGTTTTAATTCTGAAAAACTTGTTTATATAAACAGGCAGCTTTTAAAATGTTTTAAAAAATTTTTATATTTAGATAATTTAGCTTAATCTTATGAGCACCATCTTACAATTTTAATGATTTCTTTAATACTTGCTCTAAAGTCTTCTGATTTAGTAAAGCACTTTGATTTTGCAAATAATTATTTAAAAAAAAACCACACCAAACCCACTGCTGTAAAGTCAATTCACTGGTAAAAATCTTATGGGACAGCGTAGAATTGCCATAGCATATTTTCAAGTCTGTAGTGTTTACTGGAGTGGACCACAGCTTTCTCCCAGAGCAGCTAGTGTGTTTAAACTGCCAACCATTTGGTTATCAGCTAAGTACTTGAACTGCTACGCTACCAGGGCTCTTAAATAATTACCTGCAGAGTGAATGTAAAAAAGAAAAGAAAAAGCCTCTAAAAGCTTGTGAATGCTAAGTTCATCCCATAAAATGCTTACTATATGCTATATGAGAACTCATGTAAAACAAAAATTGTCACAGTGATTAGATGTGAGATTCAGGTTTTGACCAGAATAAAGTATAAGGGGCAAATTTACAGAAAACAGAAATATCCCATGGTCTTCATAGCCAAGAGTAAAATGTAAATTGTAGATCACTGCTGTATGTAGCATTAATATTGAGGGAGTATTACTGTTTCTCTCATCTCTCCATCCAATATTGACCAATATAAGCATTCTTAAAATTTTATTATTCTTGCAGGCAATGACTTTTTTTTTTTAACAAATTGAAGGTTTGGCAAGCTGTGTTGTAAGGGAAGTCTATGGGTGCAAGTATTTTCACAGGGCATGCTCATTTCTTGCAATATTTAAAACTTTTCATAATATTATTGCATACTTAAAAGACTTCAGTATAAATAAATATAACTTTTATTGTACTAGGAAATAAAAAAATTGGTCTGACACTCTTTATTGTGATATTTGAGTTATTGTAATGATTTGAAACTGAACCTGCAGTATCTCTGAGGTATGCTTGTACGCTAGGTTCTGAGTTCAGGGATTTTTAATACTAAAATGCATACTTTAGAGTAAGTTGATAACATGGTGATTTTTAAGGTAAATGATTTTGCAGTTATCCTAAAGTCCCAAGAAAAAGATGTAGCATTCTAGAACAAGTTAGCTTGAATGTGGCAGGAGGAAAATCTCCTAAACCCTGGATTTAGAAGTGCTTCTTTCCGCTTGCTTTATATACAGTAGAAATGGAATAATTTTTTTTTCTCTTGCCCCATTGGTGACTAAAATTTGTTTTCTCTGGGTATAGCCTAAAATTAAAAAGTATCAAATACCACTAAATTAAAAAATTATATACATGCTTGGAAGGGTAGAGGAACAGAGAAAGACTATTGATGAGATGGACTGATTCAAGGACTGGGGTAATGAGGGTAGGTGTGTCACAGACAGTAAAGTTGGCACAGGATAGATAGAGCAGGTTTCAGGGCTACTGAACAGAGTCGCTCTGAGTTGCAAGCAACTCGATGGCACACCACAACAAAAAAACAACACACGGAAATTACAACTTAAAAATTGGCTTGTATCCAGATGTTTAATGACATCAACTCCATAGAAGAAGCATGTCATAAATCATGCTTGATCTTCAAAAGCCTCTTTAACTTACAGGCTAGCTAATGTTCTACAAACCAGTAGGGAAAAAGAAAAGCCACTGTAATATAACCATGTATAATAAAACTTCGGACTTGTAAATATATACTGAATTTGAGGTGTGAATAAACAGCAAGCACATTTTGGAATGAGGAAGTACTGCTAAATTGGAAAGGCATCCTCAAGCTTTTCACCACACCTAAATGTCTTCAGGAAAAAAGCCCTAACGTATCTGCATTTTTAAATTGTATTTTATTATTTTAAAAGTTCTGGAGTTCTCATATACTCTTGGTCACATTTATTTTTTTAATGTTACTTTTGTTTGTTTTATTTAAATTTATTATTAATTTCAGTAAAAATTTATAGAGACTTTGGATTTCCATTCATTCATTGTTGCACTTTTCTCCCCTCCCATTTTATTTTTAAAGGCATTAGAAAAATCTCTCTTTTCATTGAGATGGGTGATAGGATTATATTATAGAAAATGCACAATATAAGAGACTAAATGAATGCTTGTTTTATGTTTAGAATTTGGATGTTAACTTTATGTTCTCTTTAAACATATAGATCAGATACTCTACTGTATGGTTGGAAAAAAAGAATTTACCACCATATACATTTTCTCTAAAATAATAATAATAAAATAACAGAACTGTTAAATGTTATGATGTATAAATACCTTTGACTCAATGTGACTGTTAACAGGTTAGGACTTCTTGGATGAGATTTTTCTGTCTGTTCTATGACTCCTTTTCCTGCTCTGCTTGGTGAAGCTGTCCGGCTTTGAGTATCACTGTAAGGTGATGTTGTGGCAGTGGTGATTTCTTTAGCAATGTGGGTAGAAGATGGGGAAGCAATCAATATTTTAATGTCTTCCATACTGTCTTTTGTCATGGTTTTTAACTCATCAGTGGTGGCAGTGGTAGTGTTGGCAATAATAGCAGGTTCTTGCATTTGATTCTGCTGGAACACTGTAATTGTGCTTGCACTCTGAGGGCTTGTAGAACTGCTTTCTAATGGTGACAACTGATCAAATGAACGTAACTGGAAATCATCATCCATTGGAATATAGGGGGCCAACATCTCCAAGTCTAAATCTGTATCCTTTAAGACAACAAACAAATGAGTTTTAACAATGGCCATACCTTGTAAAAGAAAAACTCAAAAGTTATTTCAGACTAAAAATCAGTAAAATGTAATATAAAAGATAAGTTCATATACCTGAGTGGAAAATGGGTTCTTTGCTTCTGTGTCTTCAGCAAAAAGTTTCTCTACCAATTCCAACTTGAATTCATTGACCATATCACTGTCCACATCGAAACAATACTCACTGGGACTATTAGGCTGTAAGGAATAATTGTATGCTTATCTTTTCCCTGAGAAAAACTCCATCTTTTGCTGATTGTTAGAATTCTCACATGATATCTCGGCACCCAACACAGTCCCATCTCTTTTTTTTTTTATTAAATTCTGTCTAATGAGTGAGAAGTTTTATTTTTATGCTTATATATACACCAGATTTGTCAAGGACACATATCTGACTGCATATAACAGAACATAATTTATAAATTGCAGATAAAAATACTCATTTTATTACTTTAGATAATAAAGCTTACCCTAATGATTCAACTTATAATGTGATCAAATTGAACAATTTATGAGATACACTGTTTGGAACTTCCTTTGTAATGAGCATTAAATGTGTGCTTAAATATTTTGCTGTTATTCAGATGAATGGAGAGAACAGGTAGCATAGTAAAGATTTACAGGCTTAGAAAATCTTTGAGACAGTTCTGCTCTGCCTTTACAGAGTTGCTTGGAATCAGAAGTGACTTGATGGCAGTAGAGGCTTGCTTTGTTTGGGGCAAGAATTACAACCAAAAACTATTATTTGAGAAGGACATCATGCTTGGGAAGGTAAAGGGTTAGGAAAAAAGAGGAAGACCATCAGAAAAATGGAATGACAATGCCTGCAGCTGCTGGCTCAAGTATAACACAGATGATGAGGATGGCATTGGATGAGATAGGGTTCAGATCTGTCTCAAAGGCAACTAATAAAACATCTGAAGCAGAACATTCTGCTACTGTCAGTCTAATTTTTTTTTTGGTTAGGAAAATTATGCAACTAGCTACAAGGTTATATTCTAATAAGCTATGAATTGTCAAAACCTACTGTAGCTTATCAGATGTTATAATGTGTATTTAATAAAAAATTATTTATAATGTACTAAAGCTTACTTAAGTCTCACTTACCAAATTATAACATTCAGATCTAAGCTGATTTACTCCTGAGCATAATTTTAAACTTAAGGAGTTCTGATATTGGATTATTCCAGATTTAGAAATAGAGCTCTGTGTAATGCCTCTAGTTGTGGTTTCAGTCTAGTCTTTTTAAAGACGACTGTGTACCAAGATTAAACTAAAATAAAAAGATCAGTTATTATTTATTCAATGCAAGCTTTGTATCTTCATGCCATACTTACACAGGTTAACAGGTACTAGGCATGGGGTTATTTTGGGAATACACACATACTACTCTTCTCCGGATGTCAAAATTCAAGAATTTTTTTTGTTCAACTTAAGTAAATATATAGAGAATCAATAATGATTTTTATAGGACCATTGAAATTATAGGACCAAGATATTTAAAGGCAGTGCTTTCAAAGGTTATTTTTACAGTTTCCATGTAAATAACTTACTTGTGAGTTTAAAATGCTAAACTGCAAACATAAAATTTAGATAGGTGGTTCAAATTAAAATTGAAATCAAATCCCTAAGCATTAAAATTTGAAAATGCCCCCTTTCTTCTTCTACCGTAACACTCACCTCTGGTGAACTCTGTCTAGTGCTGCCATCAGAAGGACTGGCTGGCTGATCTTGAATCTGAGGCATAGTAAAAGAAAGTTCCAATGATTCTGGATTTGGTTCTAATTTTAATGCAACTTCTTGATTGAGTGCAGGGTCAGCATTACTTCGAAGTGGCTTTGGAGTCTCAGAGGCAGGTAATGGAGACATTGCTAAGTTTATATTCTGTAATTTTTCATTAGATGAGGGGAGCATTACATCATTATATAAGGGAACTTCCTCAAGTTGTTGGTCATCAGTTTCTGAATCTGTGGCAAAGAAACAGATCAATCTGATCAGTTTAAACATTATCTAGATTTTAATATATACAGACATTTGTATACTTCACTTAATAAAAATATTAACCACAAAGCTTACATATGATGGGATAACTATAATGCTGAGTATCTTTCCTTAGCTGGCACCTTATTCTCTATAAAGTCCTGGGGCAGTGTAAATGATTTTCAACATGCTAGGCTGCCAACTGAAGAAGGGTGGAGGTTTGGATCCCTTCAAAGGCATCTCGAAGAGTAGGCTAATGATTGACTTTCAAAAAAAAAAATTAGCCACTAGAATCCTTATGGACCAGAATTCTATTCTGATAAATGGGCTTATCAACGAACAGGAATTACCTCAACAGCAAGTGGTAACAATTATTCTACGAGACCTGAAAGTTGAATTCATTCATAAGCTTCTTTTGTTCTTTCACCTTTTTTTTTTAATACATAAAAGTTTCACTTACATAGTTCATATACACTGTTTTTCACACCAGATCTATCCCATTTCCTTTACCTACCTCTCCCTCTTCTAAATTTTTGTACATTTTAACATCTAACCTAGTTAGAAATTACAGTTTTCATTCTCAAAGTTCAATGTCATGGTATAACCCTGCTTATTTAACGTTTAATGCAACAAACAGTACCTGCTACACGATTACCAACCCACCCACTCCTCCATCCCTCAAAAAAGAAAAACAGCTTCACTGCCATCAAATATACCAGTTCAACAGGACCGAGTAAACTTGCCCCAACGTTGTGAATCATTATGCAATTAAGCTGTCACATCTTTTTCCTGGTGAGTTCAAACTGTCAACATTTTCGTTAACAGGCAAGTTGCTTAACCACTGTGTTATGCTATAATATTGCTAAATGCATCGGCATATACAAATCATAATGGGAAAAAGAAAAGCAGGAAGAAGTACAATTCCTAGTAACACAACATAAGTAAAAAAAAATAGAAATTATGGGACCAAGATATTTAAAGCCAGTGCTTTCAAAGGTTATTATTATTTTTAAAAAAAGTCTGAAACCACAATGTTCAAATGACTGTCAACAAAAAAAGGCAGACTAAAATGCAATTAAAATGGTTTGGTATTAAAATGTTATTCTGCATTAACAAAATATTTTAAAAGACTAACAAACAACTAAATACCTACCATTGCTGCCAAAATCTAAAGAGATGATTGTGTCACCAGCTGCAGGGGCCAACAAAGTTAAAGCATCAGGTTCTTTCTTAAGTTTATCAAAGAGACTACTTGTATCTTCTGATTCAACTTTGGTGAAAAGCTGTGTCATTTTCATATCTGAAGACTCAACAGGTTTGAGGACACATTCTGTTTGTTGAAGGGAGAAAATCAAGTCGTGCTGAATAATACCACTGTTAAAAGAGAGAGATTAATAACTCTTAATTCCATTTAAAGGTATCAATAATTCTTCAGTCTCCTTTACTCACATTTTTCACATGCTTATCAAGCAACAGAATATACTACAACATACTTTAAAGTGACATCCTTGCTCTTTAGCACTTTTAAAATGCCCACTTTGCCCCTCAAGATGTAAACCTACCCTTAAAGTAAAAATAATGTAACACAATGTGGTAATTGCTAAAGTGGAGGATGCTTGCTTCACAAAAAGACCACAAATAAGCTGAAACCTGGGCTTGAGAAAGGTTTGTTGAGCATATTGGGGTCGGGGTGGGGGTGGGACAAGAAGGGAATTCTAAGTGGAAGATTCTTACATAATGAGATAGTCCTGAATTCTTTGGCACTAATATTAAAGGATGGTCTTGGATGTGACATTAATGAAAATAAATGGCTAAAACTTTCCTAAGAGGGATAGCCCAACATTTTAGAAGGAGGGCTAAATATAAGAAAGCACAGGAGTAAAAGAAAATGAAAAGAAATATGCCACACGGATATGTAAGGGCTTATCTTGAGGATAATCTTTAAAGATCAATGAATAAAGATTTCCTTAATGTTCACTTCATGAATCTAAGAGTTCGTGTACCCTATCAAATATGCTCTCCATGTCTTACACAGAATTTAACTTTTTGAACTAAATATTAACTCTCCTACATAGATGAAATACAAAGAAATGAGGAAAACCCCTCAAGCTCACAGTAGTAGACCTATGACACAAACAAGGGTTCAAAAGACTGGAATTATGAGAAAAAAAAACAGCAAAAAAGCTGCTTTGGGAATAGTACCTATTGAATAACTGTTAGGACAACATCAAATTAATCCACAGGAAATCTGTTATTTTTTCAAAATCGTTTTAAAGACTAGTAGGAAGAATTGGGGCAGATAGTTACTGTTAATATTACATAAACAAATCCCAAACCAACTGAAACTCATTGCTATTGAGTTTGAATCAACTTATGGTTGACCCTCAGCTGGATTTTGGAGGCTGTAAATCACATCTTTCTCTTGCAGAACAGCAGCTGGTGGATTCTCACTGCCTACCTTTGGGTTGGCAGCACAATCCTTACCACTATAGCTTTGATGTTGTCAGGTGGTATCAAGTTGAGTGTGACTCACAGCAACCCTATGAACAACAGATTTGAAAATAGCAGTCCTAGAAACCTAGACCAGAATACTATAAATTATAATAAAAAAAATGGATGTGAAATAAAACTCATCTGATCACATATGCATACTAAAAAACCTAATGCCTGCTCTCATGTCCTCAAATTTGTTGCTGTGTTTGAGCCTTGTTGCTATGTTTGAGCCTACTCAATCCACTTCATTGAGGGTCTTCCTTTTTGCCACTGACTCTCTACCAACCATGAGGTCTTTCACTACAGCTGGTCCAAATTAAGTGAGACAAAATCTGTCATTACTTCAAAGGAGCGTTCTTGACTGTACTTCTTAAAAGATGGGTACTCTGTTTTTCTGGGTGAAAGTCTACCGGATATTCAATATTATTCTATAACACATAAGTCAAATGCATTAATTTTCCATAGTGATAATTCAAATGCATCAGTTCTTGAGTTTTCCATATTAACTGTGCAGCTTTTACATGCATAAAAAGCAAATGAAAATATTATAGCTTTAGTCCTGAAAGCGACAGTTTTACTTTTTTAACACTTTAAACCATATAGCCTTCAGCATGGATTAGACCTCAATATCAAGAAACTAAAAATCCTTAGTAAACCAATATGCAACATCATATTAAACGGAAAATGTTGAAATTATCAAGGATTTCAGTTTCTTTAGATCTATAATCAATGCCCCTGAAAGCGAGCAACAGTCAAAAAATGGGGTAGATCTGCTGCAAAAGACCCTTTAAAATGCTAATAAAATAATACTTAAAGAGAACTACTGTTAAAAAAAACCCCTCAAGCACATTGATTTTTCAAGCTTACCTCACAACATAATTTACACATACAATGCATTGTGGTTGAGAATTCTTTGTGTTGTATATAACAGTTGCTTGAGTTTCAACCCAGACATATCCCCCTCTTTTGGCAAGCATCCTATACTGTCCTGTAGTGACTTGTCCTTTAGTAAACACTAGAAAAGAAAAAAAAATCTTAAAGAGAAAATAACTGAATTTTCAGTCAAATTAATGAATGCTGATCATAGTTTTAGAAAGAGAGAAATGCTTAATGAAATCATGTGTATTGTTTAAACTGAGATTAAAACAGTAAAACCCACCCAATATAGATAAGAATGTACTCATTTTCTTCTCCTAGCCCCACAATTTACACTTTAAATAATAAAAGCTAGGAATAAGGGCCAGCTGAGACCAAAATTTTATGACTTCTCTTGAAAGACTAGCGAATTATGAACACCTTGATACATCAGAGATCACTGAAGAAAAAAAAAAGCCACTGCTGCTATTTCTTTGTATTTCTGTTAGAGTTAACAGAGAACTAAAGATAATTCAGGGTGCTCTGGTGGCTCTGGTAAGGAGCTGTGCTGCCAACACAAAGGCACCAGTTCAAATCCATCAGCTGCTCTGGAACAAGTTGGGCATTCTCCTCTCATGCCATTAACTGCCTCTGAAAACTCACTAAAGAGTTAGCTATCAATTGGTTCTGATATTAAGGGAGGTTTTATGGCTCAGTGGTGAAGAGCTGCACTGCAAACTCAAATGCACTGATTTGAATCCATCAGCCACTCCACAGGAGAAAGATGGGCATTCTACTCCCATGCAAATGACTGCCTCTGAAAATCCACTGGAGGGTCAGCTATGGGTTGGTTCCAACTCAGCAGTGTAAAACAACAACAAAGGAATTTCTAGTAACTGTCAGCATATTTGATTATAAATATTATATCAATGATTTAGGCAATCTAAATTAATTGTTTACTCAGGAGACTCAGTGCCAGTTGCCAGTTAGTTAATGCTGAGTGGTGGTAACTGCGACCCTATGTGGGCCAGAGGAGATACCTGTGCTCCCGGATTTTCAGTGGCTGATTTTCTGAAGCAGCGAGTTCAATCTTTCATCTGAGGTGTTCCTGGTAAACTCAAATCACCAACCTTTCAGCAAACAGCTGAACATACTAATTGCTTACACTTTCTAAGGGTGCCATTTAGGAGAAAGTATTGGGTAAATTGGATGCAGGAGTAGCATCACTTCTAAATAACATGCCTCTGGAAACCCTATGAACTTTGATAAATGTTGATAGTTGTAGAGGGGCTTCAAGCCTTTTGTTCATAGGGTTGCTATCAATCTTGCTCGATTCAATGACAACAACAACAACATTGGGTAAATAGTAATGACACTATCATGAGTCCTTGAGCTCTGACTGCAGACTTGAAACCACTTTGCCGTTCAGTACTAATCACAATAACTTAGTGAGTGACAATCTGTGCACCCCCCATTGTGTTGTGAAGTCATGTTTAGAGTTAGTATAGTTAAGGATAGAGTAAATGTTAAGTGAGAAATTCCCACCTTTTTGTGTGTACTATTTTTACGTGTACCGTCAAATCAGATCCGACTGGTACAGATTACCCCCTCCTTCTCCAGCAGAGCATCTGGTGGATTTGAACTGCATACCTCTGGGATTGCAGTGCAGCATCTTGCCACTAGGCCACCAGAGCTCCCTTGAAATTCCCACATTTTAATTTGGGACCTTTAACATCATTTACCTGAGCAAGCAAAATTCAGTCCTATCTTATTTCAAGGCTACTTGTTACTAATGTGCATCATGTTTAACACAAATTCATTCTACAATTATTTTCTGTGTGCCCCTGAGTATTAGGTATGGATTCTGAAAATGAATTTCAGTATTGCATTACTTCTTTTTTTCATGTCTATTAGATGTATTTTCCCACCCTACTTACTATCATGATGAGTTTTTGTCAGATGATCAGAATCCAAAGCATGATAATATTCATAAATTGAACGACCCAGAAGTTCTTCAGGTTCATATCCCATCAGCTCAGTAATTCTGTTTGGGGGGGAGGATCAGAAATGACATGAATGACTCAAAAGTTCTTCTGGCTTAATAGACTATTAATTCAGTTAAATGAAACGGTAAGCAAACAAATAACAGAGTAATTGGTAAAGAGATATTTTACTTTTTCAGAGTTATTTTATTGGCAAGGAATTTTAAAATTCCTTTGCTTAGACTAAATTTGCATTTATCTTCAGTAACGGTAGGATCTTAAAGCAACAAGCATTTCTATAACTCCTCTAGATTCATTCTATGAGATTCTTTTTTAATCACTTCATAGAAACAAGTTACGTATTTTTAATATATCTTATTGTGCATCCTTTTGGTAACAAGAAAGATTATTAAAACACACAAAATAATGTTAAATTAAATGATGGCAATAATAAAGGTAGTCACTGATGTTTAATTTAAAATGTAGATTAAGTCTGCAGCATTCTACGAAACCATAATCTTATAGAATAATTCACTGTGCTAAATAGAAATGATCCCTTTTGCAGTATTTCTGGGATTAAGCTTTTACATTTTCCTGCCTTGGCAAAAATCAGAATTATATAATGTATTATAGGTCAAACTCCATTCTCCTAAAAAAAGATATAAAGATGACGCTGCTTATGTTGCCATACTTAAGACAAGAGCTATCATAGTTCCAAAATAAGTATATGAATAAAAAGACTTAAATAAATATGAATTGTTCTTGTTGTTATGTGCCGTCGAGTCGCCTGCGACTCATAGTGACCCTATGTACAACAGCCCTAAACTCTGCTCTGTCCTGTGCCAGTCGCACTGTCTCTGACACTCCCATCCCAATTACCCCAGTCACTGAATCAACCGACCTCATAGGGGGCCTTCCTCTCCTGCGCTGTCCCTCCACCCTACCAAGCATGATGTCATTCTTCAAGGACTGGTCCCTCCTTACAACATGTCCAAAGTATGTCAGACGGAGCCTCAGAATCCTTGCTTCCAAGGAGCAGCCCGGTTTAACCCTTTCCAGGATGAATGTTTGTTTTCCTAGCAGTCCATGGAACCCTCAATACTCCTCTCCAGCACCAAAGCTCAAAGGCATCATTGTCCTTCTATCCTCCTTAGTCAACAGACTTGGTAAAAAAACCAACAGAGAACTTAAAACATTATCAACACTAGGTGGCAGCATTATAAAGGAGAATTCTGGTTAACATGTTACTTATCGTTTTATCTTTAGAGTTTTACTGGTTTTATCATAAGGAGATGTGTTGCCAACTTGAAACCATATGGTTCAAATACCCTAGCTTCTCTGTGGGAGAAAGATGGGCAGTTTCTACTGGTGTGATTTGCTGCTTCTGAAAGAGATTGGAGAGTCAGCTATGGGTCAGTTCTGACTGGATGATACCTAACAACAACAAAATCATAGTTTATAGTTTTAAATAAAACTGCTATAGAATTATTTTCACACTATTTATTAAACAACATGCTAAGTGATGAGACTATCTGTAGGAATCAAAGCGACAACCCCAATCCATAGGAATGGCGGAAAAGGGAGTAACTTCTAGTAGAGCCTTAATGAGCATGGACGAGCTCCAAAGCAAGAGCATTTCAGGAGGAAGGTTTCCCACAGTCAAAACCAGAGCTGAGAACATACTTGGTAACATAAAAGTAGTAAAGACTCTGATGTGGTAGGCAGGGGTAATATAAAGCCGGTAGTAGAGAGATGATGGTGGAGAAATTGACAGGGGATCAGATTAGTGAACACCTTTTAGGTCACTTTAAGAAGCTTTCATTTAATTAGAGGTCAATCAGAGCTTTCTAGTCTGCTGTGCGATGTATCTGTCACAAAGGATTAATAACTGGGAATATGCAGATGATACAGCTTTGCTTGCAGAAGGCAGAGGACCCGAAGCATTCAAATACTACATTATGGTAGAAGACCGACAAAACCAAATACAGTGCCAACTGATTCAAGGGGACCTTACGTGGCAGAGTAGAACAGCTCCGGTCTGTTTCTGAAATGGACTATTTACTCCCCCTCTTGGAATGGCTGTAGAGTTTTAACTGCAACTTTTCAGTTAGCAGCCTAACCCATCACCCACTGTGTTACCAGAGCGCCTTTCAATGACTATCAATTACATCGCAACATTAAAAAAAGCTTCACAACTGAAGCAATAGCAGCATCATGAAAAATAGAAAAGACTAATGTTGTGATGGATTTCATGTTACTTGAATCCACAATCAACAAAAATGGAAGCAGCACCGGGCAGGGGGAATTCAAACCGTGTATTAGGTAAATTTTCTCTCAAGTACTCTTTTAAATTGTTGAAGAGCAAAGACTCACTTTAAGGACTAGGGTGCACCTAACTCAAGCCATGGTATTTTCAGTCATCTCGTATATGTAGAAACACTGGAAAATGAGTAAGACTGAAGAACGGATGCCTTTGAATTGTGATGTTGGTGAAGAATACTGACGATACTATTAACTGCGAAAAAAAAAAAACAACCCCACAAAACAAAACAAATCTGTTCTGGAAGAACTAAAGCTACAATGTTTGTTAGAGGAACAAGGATATGTACTTTCAACATGTTACCAGGAGGGCCAAGCCCTGGAGAAGAACATCATGCTGGGTAGAGAGTCAGAGACTAAAAGGAAGATCCTTATGAGGAACAGTGGCTGCAACAGTGAGTTCAGTCATAGCTGTGCACGTGTGAGGATGGGACAGGACAAGGCAGTGTTTTGAAAGGGAGCCAACCTGATGACCCCTAACAATAAGGGATTCAAGAAGTTATAAAAAGAATACACTTCCCCTGAAGGTCAGTTTTATTCATATTTGGAGAACAAAAGTAAAGTTAATTAATGTTAGAAAAATCCATAGTTTACATTCTTTACTGAAGAGTGTGGACTTAAAAATTTGTTCAACAACTGTTTTTAATAGACTATGAAACCTGTGTTGCAAAGCAAAAACTTAGATAGGAATTAAGATATATTATTAGCAATGAAGAAAGTGATGCTTAATAACAGCTAGTATGTCCAAGATCATTTGAAGTTAAGACAGTTAATTTAAGAATTAGCAGTCTGGCCACTGAATCCATGCTTTTAACTACTGTTGCAGACCCTTATGATGGAAATGGAACATATAAACAAATAATTTAAATAATAGTATATAAAGTCATTTAGACATTAAAACATGTGGGGAACTGTCTGAGTATAGGACATTGGAGACCAAATTAGCATAAAGGTAATTGTGAATAGATCTCTCACTTTATGTTTAACTGGAGAGGTGGGCAAAGGCCAGACTATAAATATCTTTGTTTACTATGCTAAGAAATTTTTATTTGATTGCCTAATGTCCATTTATCTTTTCCTCCTTTTAAATGAACATTTTTGCTTTTGATAAGTTAAAAAACAAAACAAAACAAAAAACCAACAAAACAAAACAAAACACACAACAAACCAGGAGCTCTGGTGGCCTAGGGGCAAGAAGATGCACTGCAATCCTTGAAGGCACTTGGTTGAATCCACCAGATGCTCCGCTGGAGGAGAGCAATCTCCTCCTGTACCAGTTGGATCAGATTCAATGGTACTCACACAAAAAAATAATAAAAAAATTTTAAAAACCCCCCAAAAACCAAACCAACATAACTCCTACTCTCCTAGCATATTATTAACATTATGTTGTTATGAAGAGGAGAAATTGAAGTATTTTTAATAGGAAAGTAACATGATCTAGTTTTGGCAATAGGAAGTTTACTTTCTGACTATCTGGATGAGTTTAAAAGGGCACAACTTTGCTGTTAGAGGGTGACTCCTAGAACAATGGAAAAAGTTCAGCAAAAGGTGGTAACTGAAAAATGAAAAAGCAGGAGCTCAAGCATGCAAAAAAGTGAATAGATAAAAAAAAGTACTTAATAGACCGCATCAACAAGACTTAAGTTGACAAGGATGAAAAAAAGGTTAAAAAAGGACTTCCAAATATTTTTGTTTTTTTAAAAATAATTATGTCTACAGTAGTTATTTATTATTAACCACAATGAGGACTATAGAAAGGAAAGCAGTGTTTGGTAATGATGTACTCTTTGGGGCAGCAGTGTAGTTATGGAGACACCTACTTTATAATTGTGTTGGAAACCTTGAAAATCAGCTTTTCTATCCACTGTATTAGCACCACTGGGGGAATGGTCTTCAGATACCTTAACTGCAGATCCATGGGCTTATAAATCATCAATAGCAGGGGGACCAATATAAAAAAGTGCTTTGCACATTGTGAAAAATGGTGGTGGAGAGAGGATAAAGAGACTTGGCACTGCTGTGAAGATAATGTGACAAGGTGTAACCAGAGGAACCCTGGAAGGTTTTGCTTGTGGGATGACCAAAGGAAAAGGTGACTTGTAACTTCTCTGAGATAACTTTGTTGGACAATTGAGGAAACCCGAGGCTCATTTGTACTGCTGAACTGAAATTGGACTTTCACTAATTGAGGAATTGTGCTTTGTTAATGTAGCTTGGGGACTACTGGACTAACACTGTGAGATATTCTTTGCCTCCTCCACTCTGCAACCTTTTTCCCTAATAAATAGCTGACTGTCCATTGGGTTTCCAAGAGCGTAAATCATACAAGAAGAGTTTATCTTTCTCCTACAGAGCCGCTGGTGGATTTGAACTGCCAGGGAGGCATAGGCTGTAAGTTAATAGTGCAACTCCCTATGGATTATGTCACCAGAGCACTCTTCTTTAAATACGAGAGTCTTTAAAAAAAAAAAAAAAGAGTTCTTGTTAATAATCTTTGTATCTGGTAGTTACTTATACATAGTTCAGTATTGAATAAATGTGACTGAATTTATTTGCAAGGTTAACCTATTTTTACTGAGGTCCACACATAATTTACTAAACTTAGTAGTAAGATGGATTCAATTTACCATTGAGTCTTTACTACAGCATATTTAAATTAAATTCTAAACCAACTAAAAATTTCATATTATAATTTATACTATTTACCTTTCATCACAGTAAGAAAATTTCATGTCCAGGCTGTGACGACTAAGAAAAGTCTTGCTATCTAAAGGAATTTCAATATTTGATGGATGAGGAATGGGTTCACATATCAGCACCAGGCATGTCATAGGTGGTTTCTTATATCCACATTGAGACTGGTTACTATTGGTATCATAAACGTGAATATGGCCTGTGCAATGAAGTACCTGTACATGAATGAAAAATAAAAGCGAACTGAAGAAAACTTTGTAGAACTAGGAAGAAAATGCAGGGATTAAGTAGTTGAGTCTGACATGGCAAGTAAGCTTTGATAAAATTCACTGTCATAAATGGATTAAAACTTATTAAAATATTTTCAGAATAAATGTTTCCCCTTAAAATAAATGTTTTGTGATATAACTCATGACATAACTATTCTTGTTAATAGGCTGCTTTTTCATCAATGATGGTTAATTTTTGCTCTGATGACTTTAACAGTAAGCAAAGAAATTACTTTCAGTAGTTGTTTTGGGAAGGCAAGGAACTAGAAAAGACACCTAAACTAAATTAAGTTGTTCAAAGCTAGAAAGGAATACATTAAAAAAAGCAAGAGATTAGACTTCAGTAGGAAAAAAAAATTCTAAATCATAAACTTTATGAATGCAAAAGTCAAATTCCTTTATTCTTTGTTTGGTAATCAATTTTCTTTTTTAGATTCATGTTTGAATCATGCCTTCCTAGAGTTTTGTTCTCTGATAATATTTTTGGAATATATTATGGAAACCATACACTAGTTGCAAGACCAAATGTTAAATCCGCAAATGCCAAGAAACATCTGTGACATTTTCCAGTAATCTTAATGATACTCTAATACTAAAATTGTCAAGATACATGAATTTGTCTCTAAAATTCATTACTACTCACAAATTCTTCTTATTTACCTTCCATGTTGCAGACTTTATATTCATAGTTCTCCCCCGGCTAGTTAGGGTACACTTCATTCTGAGAAAAAAGCTTCTTTGTGTGTTTTGCTCTTTACCCTTTTTAACAGGACCTAATGAATGCAAGAGGTAAAGGTTAACTATACCAGTTTGTGATAGTAAGAGTAGCAAAATGCTAAGCATATAAGTAGTATTCAATTCAATTTCAAGATAAGCAGGGATTCACACTCTTTTCTTTACTTCAATATATTTGACACACTTCCACTAATAATAATGCTTCATGACTATAATGATTTCCTGAGCTAAATAAAGAAAGGGGGAAAATTATTTCACATTCAAGCTGGTAAAATAGTAAATATAAATATGGTATGAATTCATGCTACAGCTGTGTTATCAATGAACACAATCTAAAGATAGCTTCATGTGTTAGTGCAGTATGTACTATGCACTCCATATACTTACTGAATTTTCTTTTAAAAATTTTATATTGATTTATTTACAAAGTTCGAATACATTGTTTTTCACACAAGATCTTTCTTATTTCCGTCACCCCCCTATTTATTGAATTTTTGAAACAGTAACTTAGGGTTTTATAAAACCGATTCTTTCTTAAATCTCCTTTTAAATCAGGCAGGTGATTATTTCTAATTTGTTATTAGGGAAAAATTCTATTGACTGACTTATTAGAAACTACTGAAATAAAGTCAGAATTAAATAAATGGAAGTCTATTTACTCTCATTCTAAACCTCATATAACTAAAAAATGATTACATATCAAGTAAATAAACAGGTAAGAAAGTGATTTATCTTTTATTGGTTGGAATGTTTTAAGTAGAAAATGGCTTGTTATTTAAGGTCTAAATTAGATATTGCAGGAAATATCAAGACAAGTAAGACACACACTATCTGTCCTGGAGAAATGAAACATGAAGTAAATGTAGTTTCTTATAAGGCCAAGAAAAACAAAACAGTCAACAGTCATGAGGCTGAAGAACTGATGCCTTTAAATTGTGGTGTTGGCAGAGTACGGAAATACTTCAATAAGAACAAATCTGTTTTAAAAGTCTAGTCAGGGTGTTCCCTTACTTCATCTCATTATACTTCGGGCATGTTAGAGGTAGGGCAGCCTCTGGAAAAGGGTATTATTCTTGAAAAGGTAAAATTCAGCAAAGGAAAGGAAGACCCTCAGGAATGGTTTGACATAGTTACTTTAACAATTAAGCTTAAGCACAGCAGAGATTGTAAAATGGTCCTGCAGTATGAGTCATGGTCCAGTTGATAGCACCTAATAGTAACTGAAAAATCCCAAGTATAAATAAAAAATACTTTAAAAAAAAAAAAAAGAGAGTGAGAGAGAGAAACCAAACCATGATTTCTAGGTCTAGGAAACTAAGAGGGTGTCTTAGTAAAACGAGCATTAGAATTTCAAGTACAGGTAAGTTAGAAGGCATTCCAGACAGAAAAATATCACACGCTCAAGGGAACACAGTATAGTTTGGCTGTAGAAGAAACAACTTATAACTAAATTTTAAGAACAAGTTAGAAGGGATAGTTACCATTATTTTGGGGGAAGGGAAACACCCTAATAAGCAAACTGTGGTGTTCAAATGTAAATACAAAAACCTCTGAAAAAACAAGCTAGGAAGAACAATTGGGAACTCAAAAACCTAGCAGCTCCGTGTTTTAATTAGAATATGGTTAGGAGCCAATTACCAGCACAGGGGACGAAAAAGTGACAGACAAGTAGTATCTATACAACCTTGAAAATTGATGTAAATAAGGGTTCCAAAAGGATCTAGGATTTTGAGGTTAGAATATATACTGCTTTGTTTCACATCATGCTTGGAAAGGCAGAGTCGGTGAAAAGAGAAGCTGACACCCAATCAAGTGGACTGGACACAGTGACTGCTGCAATGGGCAAGAAGCGTGAGGATGGCACAAGACAGGACAGTGTTCAGATCTGTTATTTATAGGGTCACTATGAATTGTACTGACGGCACCTGACAACATACTGAAAGAAATGTTTCTATAAAAACAATTTTAAAACACCCCCAAACCAAGCAAAAAAAACCGTGACAAGTTTCTGTTTAGGCATGGTAACTACAAATATTACTCCTGTGGAAGAAAACTATTACTCAGATGGACTACTGAGGAAGATGTTTAAAATCTTTTTATGTAACAATGGAACTAGGAAGGGAGCACTGGTGGCCTAGTGGCAAGAAGCTGTGCTGCAATACCAAAGGCATGCAGTTCAAATCCACCAGCTGCCCCCTGGGAGAAAGATGGGCAGTCTCCTCCCATGTGATTACTGCTTCTGAAAACCCTTTGAAGGGTCAGCTAGGGGTCAGTTCCAACTTGATGATACACAACAACAGGAAAGTTAAGGGCAGACTCAGTACTGATGCCATAAGAAATGATGCCTTTCCTAGAATAATTTCATTGTTGTTCCGTACCAGAGTTGGAACTGACCTAGCTGACCCTTCAGAGGGTTTTTAGAGGCAGTATATCACATGGGAAGACTGCCCATCATTCTCTTGCAGAGCAGCTGGTAAATTTGAACCACCTGCCTTTGAGCTTGTGGCCCAGTTGTAAACAACAATGCTGCCAAATCAAAGGCATGAGATTCAAATCTGCTAGCTGCTCTATGGGAGAAGGACAGGCAATCTCCTCTCACGTGATTTACTGCCTCTGAAAATGCACTGAGGGAGCAGCTGTGGGTCAGTTCCAACTTGACAGTACACACAACAGAATGATTTCAGTGTATCTTTTTAAAAAGATGGCGCGTGAGTCATACTAGTCTTGGTGATAATGGGGTAGATTTATGTGGGGTGGAAGAGTAGTAGTCGTGGTAGTAGAGACTTGCAAATACACTCTTCAAGGTATTTTCAGTACTTCATAATCTAAATTTGAACTTAATTTAGCTCTGGATGCAAAGGGACATTAAATGGAGATACTCAGATAAAAACAAAAATCAAGTAACTGTATTATACAAGCATTAATACATACAAGAAAAAATATTTAAGAATGAATTTTAATTTCTCTAAAAATAACATTTTGTAGTGATTCAATAGTTGAATGTATCTTTTTAGAATCTAAATGAAAGAATAAAATGACTATGTTGTGTAAATATACTTAGCGTATCATTAAAACAGTTTGCAATAGCCCCTCCTTTTTAAAAGTGAAAATCTACAGAATTAAAAATCCATTAACTAGGATTTTTTAAAAAAACTAACAATTCTTACTGAATGGGCTATATCTAATTAGAATAACACATTATATTTATTACCCCCCCAAAAAATTATTACCCAATTAAAAAAAGTCTTCATTTCCATCAATTTTTAGTCTAGCCCAAGAGTCTGTCAAAACTATGGTCTGTGGGCTAAATCTTGTTCATGAGACTGAACAGCTCAAAAAGGCTTTTATAGGAAGTTTGCATAAAGTATGGTAATTTTATAAAATGTCAAACTAAAATATTAATAAGGATGCTTATTTTTTAAACTGAAACAAAAAAATAAAACCACTGGTAACTTGTTGTCAAGTGGAAGCTGATTCCTAGATGACTGCTGGGTTTCTGAGACTATTAATCAGATGGCAGGAAGTTACTCCCACAAAACCACTGGTGGATTCAGACTGCCATAGAGGAGCAGTCTTTGTGTTAACAGTGCAAGTTCTTGTGGACCATGCCAAGATCTCCCTATAACTGAAATATACCTTAAAAAGATTTCTAATATGTTAGAATTCTATTGAATTTTAGCTGCCTGTTTAGTTGTATTAATTGCAAGAAGAAGCAGATAGTCTTTGCAATAAGAATTCCAAAGTAATTTAATGAACTAATAAACAATTGTTCTTTTAATAAAGACCCAATTTAGTATGTTAATTAATTGCATGAAAAATTCCATGAGTTAATCTTTTCTCCCCTTTTCAAATAAAGCAAAATAATGTACATATTTATGTCATCATAGGTTTTGTTTGAACATAATCTCTTGAACTGAAAAATACTTTACTTTTGCAGCACTCTCACCTATTTGGAAAATACTGAGCTACAGAAACCGCTCACTGAGTAGCCAATACACACCTTACTGAAACTCATGTAGGAAACTCATTTGTTACCCAAGCACTGTACCAGCAGGGAATCAAAATCTCTCTAAAAAGGTTAGCCATTATGAGACGTGATGAAAAAGAAAAAGAAAAAAAAAAACCCTCTATAAATGAGATTGATGAATGAAGAAGCAAACAAACATACAGCAAAGTACAACTACAAAGCACAGCAAATTTCTATCATGGGGACTTTCAGTTGTGAAAAGTTAAATTATGATGAACATATTCCCTTTCAGAAGGCACAATATAAAAAGACTATTAAATAAAATTTTATTCATACTTCAAGAGCTATGTTCAAAAAACTTAGAACATCTGATTATTTGAAACACAAGCAATTATTGGACTCTGAAAGGAAATGTCGTGACACAGTGCTCAAGTGTTTGGCTGCGAACCAGAAAGTCAGTGGCATAATCCACCAGCTGCTTTGCAGGTTAAAGATATAGCAGATGTGTTTCATAAAATTATTGCCTTGAAAATCACATAGGGCAGTTCTGCTCTGTTCTAGAAGGCTGTCAGGAGTTTATAAGTAGGAACCAACTTGAGGGTAAAAGGTTGGTTTTTTTAATATACACTTGAAATTCTACCCTCAAGCTCCCAGGTCATTAAAAAGTGTGCATCCAGAATGACACTCAAATTCTAATAACTGTCTAAAATCCCAAGAGCTATTACCCTGGCCCATGATTTTCCACTGCCTTAAATTTAATTTATGATTCCCATGGTCCTAATATCGCTTCCTAGTTTTTCTATTTTATTTATATGTTTCACTCTGGAAGGTACAATGGTTAAGCACTTGACTATGACCTCAAACGTTAATTGTTCAAATCTACCCAGACAGCCTGGCAAACTACTTTAAAAACATCACAGCTTTGAAGACACTATGGCACAGTTCTTCCATATACATACCAGGTCACCCTAAACTGGAACTGACTCAATGGTAGCCAATAACACAACTAGACAAGGTTTTATGAAATAACTAAAAATTAGAGTAACATTGTTTAAATGAAGAAGAAACATTTTATTAAACATGAAATAAATTTTGACTTAGGCAAGCACAAAAGCAAGATTTAAAAGTTGGTAACACTATTTAACTATGCAAAATAACTTGTTAGATGAAATCAAACAATATACTTTTCTTCTTACCATTTCTGTGTGTAAGCATTTCTCTCATTTCCTCATGGTCACATGGATGAGTAAAATCAAACACACTGTGTCCAGTTAGTTCAAACTGTAAACACATTTTAAAAAATTAGATCTACACCATGAACTCATAAAAACACATACAAGATCTCTTTCTTTATGGGTATTTTACCTGAGTTAATCCCATGTATTTGTTTACATTATCAGAAATGTAAATCATGTCACCATCATCTGTGAGAACCATAACAAAACCATCCAGGGCTTTCAAATAAAAGCAGTTCATCTGTGCCTTCATTTCATCTTCAATATCCAAATCACCTAAAAGGTTATAAAAATAGGAAAATAATTAGTTAAAAATATATTTAAATAGTATTGGTATTTAGGTGATTTATAAAGTTCTACCAAGTTTTAATATATACATCTATTTCTCCTTCTTTATAATTGTTATCCCCTGCCACTTTCCTTTTAACACAGAATAGTCAAAGCCTGAGGCTAGAGAGACTAAAATTAGAATTGCCAGCTGCATTTCATGATGAACAGTAAAGAAGAAAAGGAAGAGTCATGTTATTAACAGGAAAATAAGTAGAGGAGAAGCAAAAGAGAAAAAAAGCCATTCTTTTAAAATAAAATTTTGTTAAAGAATAAAAATTGTTAAAATTTAGTTTAATAATATAATTATTAAAGAATAAAGAGAAAATATAATCAAAGGAATAAACCAAACTAATTTAGAATGTAAAAAGGAAAATTATTTGAAAATAACTAAATGAAGCTTGGTTAAAATATTGATTACTGAAACTTAAAGTACTGATCATAATATAATGAAAAACAAAATAAAATCATTTGCCTTTCCTAAATTAATTTCTAATTGCATCTAATTTTTCATTTTTAGGTCTGTTAAGTCCTTGTTAAAAAACAACTTACCAGCATCTAGAAGTTTCCTCACACGCAAGTAGCTGATGGTAAGCCTCATAACAGACGCTTTATCAAGATGTGAGCTGACATTATGGGGAAGAGGCAACTGATGAGCAAGCTCATAAAAAACTTCAGACTCTTTACTTCGACGAGACCTGGCTGCATCTCGGGATTTTTCTTTGCGACGTTCAGAACTAATTCTATGTAACATGAATAGAAAGTAAAGAAGAAAATAAAATTTATGTTAGGAACTTGCATAGTAAGTCCAAGACCAAACTTTAAACAAGTAGGCATAACCTCCAGGTCATGTCAAATTTTAAGCCATGTTTTAATTTTAGCCAAAAAGCAAATACAACAAAAAACTTGTATATGTACGGCTTTATGTATATGTAATGGCCTTTGTAGCCACTCAAAAACACTCTCAATGTACAGAGAACATGATTAAATCATGAGAAACTATTTAAATTACGTATTTATCCAGTTATGGGGATTTTTTAGAAATAAATAACTTCAACCTTTCCAACCCTGTACTCTGTTTTGTTTGCTAGATGCCATTGAAATGGATCTGACTCGTAGTGACCCTACATACAACAGGGCAAAACACGGCCCAATACTGTACAATCCTCACAGTTGCTGCTCTGCCTAAAATCCATCAATGTAGCCATTGGATCAATCAATCTTCTTAAAATCACTTCTAAATAATCATTTAAAAATCAATCTTGTTAAAAACACATTTTCTGCTGACTCTTTTATCAAACATTAATGCCTTTTTCCAGGGGTTGGTCCCTCTTGATAACCCACCTAAAATATGTGAGATGATGTCTAACCATGCTAACTCTTGGACATACCTATTTGTTCTTTTGGTAGTCTACGATGTACTCAATATTTTCACCAATACCTTAATTCAATTCTTTAATCTTCCTCATTCACTGTCCAATTTTCACATGTATATGAAATTGTAATGGATCTGCCCAATAAAATACATTGATTTGACTTCAGTTTCCATGGGTGATGACTGTGGATCCAAGTAAAATAAAAAAAAAATAAAAATTCAAATTCATGATGTTGTTAAGGATTTTTGTTTTATGTTGAAGTTTAATCCATGCTGAAGGCTACATAGCCTCTTAGCTTCATCAGTAAATGCTTCAAATCTTCATTTTCAGCAAGCACAGCAGTGCCACCAGCTTATCACAGGTTTTTAATGAATCTTCTCCAATCCTGATTGAACACTCCCTTGGAAGTCTCTTATCTATCATGGATACAACAGTATACTAAGTAAATGCAAGCATGTGGCACAACACTATGAATTTAATCAAACAGATTAGCAAGGATTTGCTAGAATTTACATAGGTCACAGAGAGCAATTTACTTACAATTAAAGTTTTATTAAGATATACACACAAAGTAAGGTTGGCAGTGAGAAGTTATAGAAAAACTCCTTTGCTCAAAAAATATTCTTTCAATAATAACAAATAAATATTAAAAACAAAGTTGGCTTTTATTGCAAATTCTTAGCCCCACTTTTGTAAAAACTCTTTCTGTAGATTTTAGACTGAGTCCAGAATCTGGATTTTTTAAAAGTTCTAAAATCATGATCCACAGGGAGGTTTGAGGCCACTGACTCAACTAGTCTTTAGTGTTACTTGTTCATTGTGGGTTTGGGTGTGTGGTTTTTTGTTTGTTTTAAATGATTTTAAAGCTATTAATCGGCTAGTGAAAGAGCCACACAATCATTGCTGGTCAAGCCACTGTTGTTATGTGCCGTTGAGTTGCCTGAGACTCAAGTGACCATGTGTACATTATCTCTGAGTGCTGCCCTATCCTGAGCCAATCTCATTGCCTCCAAGAGACCTAATCCCATTTCTCCAGCCACTGAGTCAATCCATCTCATCCTGGGTCTTTCTTTCCTGTTCTGTGTGTCCAACCTTCCAAGCATGATATCCTTCTCCAAGGCTGGTCCCCTCCAGCCCTGTGCACAATGTATGTGAGATGGAGCTTAAAAATCCTTGCCTCCAGGGAGCGGCATGGTTTCACCCTCTCCAGGACAGACTTGTTTGTTCTCCTGGCAGTCCACTGTATGTTCAACACTATTTTCTAGCACCACAACCCAAAGGCATTGATTCTTCTTCTATCATCCTTTGTCACTGTCCAGCTTGCAGATGCATAGCATGTAATTGTGAAGACCATGCCTGGATCAGACACACTTTAGTCTTCAGAATGACATAACTGCTCTTTAGTACTCTAGAGAAGTCCCTGACAGCAGACTTTCCCAATGCAATCCATAATCTCCTGACTGCTGGTGCCAAGAGTGTTGACTGTGGAACCAAGCAAGCTGAAGTTATTAACCATCTCTATCTCTTCTCCATTAATCATGAAGTTGCCAACTGGCCCAGTGGTGAGAATCTGTTTTCTTGATGCTGAGCTTCAATCCTTATCAAAAACTGCAGTCGTTGACCTTCTACAGCAAATACCTGATGTCCTCCTCAGTTTCAGTTTCAGCAAGCAAGCAAGGTTGTGTCGTCTGAATAATGCATATTGATGAGTCTTCCTCCAATTCTGATGGCACATTCCTCCTCACAAAGCCCAGCCTCCCGAACGATCTGTTCTGCATATAGATTGAAAAAGTATGGAAATAGAAGCATCCTTGTACATTTTTCCTGATCCTCAACCATACATGCAGTATTTTCCTGCTCTGTTCTGACTACGGCTTCCTGGTTCAAGTATAGGTTTTGCATGAGCACAATTAAGTGTTCTAGGATTCCCATTTTTCTTAGTTAGCCACAATTTATTGTGATCCACAGTCAAATGTCTTTGTATAGTCACTGAAACATAGAAAGACATTTCTCTGGCTCTCTCTGCTTTCGGCCAAGCTCCATCTGCCATTAGCTGTAATATCCTTATATATGCCATGGCTTCTTCTAAACCCAGCCTGCATTTCAGAAGTGCTGATATACTGTTCCAGTCATTTTTTGATAATCTTCAGCAGGATCTTGCTTGTGTGTGATATTTTTTAATAACACCCACACTCTGTCAGGCCACCTTTTTTTTTTTTTCGGAATGGGAATAAACACAGATCTTGTCTAGTCAGGTGGCCAGGTAGTTGTCCTCCAGATTTCTTGGCATAACTTGGTGAGCGTGTTCAGGGCAGAATCTGTTTGCTGAAGTATGTCAACTGCTGTGTCGTCAATTCTTAGGGCCTTGATTTTTGCCAATTCCTTCAGAGCAACTTGGTAAACTTCCTTTTTCATCACCATTGCCTCTTGATCTTATGTTGTTTCATGAAATTCTTCTGTGTCAGCCACTTCTTTTTGATATAATGCCTCTGTGCACTCCTCCTTCCATCTTTTTTTGATGCTTCCTGGGTATCCAACATTCTGCCTTCAGCATCCTTAAGGATTGCAACTTGAGGCTTAAACATGTTCTTCAGTTCCTTCAGCTTCAGAAATGCTAAGCGAGTTTGTCCGTTTTGATTTTCAACTCCTGCTCTTTGCACATTTCATTATAATATTTTGCTTTCTCTTCCTGAGCTTTCCTTCGACAACTTCTGTTCAGCTCCCTAACTTTATGTCTTCCCTTTGCTTTGGCTTCTCAGCATTCTAGTGCAATTTTCAGAGTCTCTTCTGACATCCATCTTCGTCATTCACTTCTTTGTAAAGACTTTTTGCATTCTTCATGAATATTCTTGATAGCCTCCCACGGCTCATGTGGTCTTTGCTCATTAGTGTTCAAGGCTTCAAACCTGTTCCTGAGAAGGTCTAAATTCAGGTGGGATAGACTGGAAGTTAACTTGGTTCTTGTGGATTTGATTTTTCTTTAGCTTCAATTTGAACTTGCATATGAATAGCTGATAGACTGTACCACAATCAACACCTGGTCTAGTTTTCATAGCTGATATTGTCTCCAGCAATTTCTTCCACAGATGTAGTCAATCTGATTCCTGTGTAGACCATCAGGTGAAATCCATGTGTATAGCTGCCATTTATGTTTCTTATTAAAAGTGTTTGCAAGGGAGCTCTGGTGGCCTAGTGGCAAGAAGATGCACTGTAATCCCAGAGGTGTGCAGCTTGAATCTACCAGATGCTCTGCTGGAGAAGGGAGAGCAATATGCTCCTGGTACCAGTCAGATCTGATTTGACAGTATATGCACGTACATGCACAAAAAAATTTAAAAAAAAAAGTTTGCAATGAACAGGACACTGATTGTACAGAATGATATTTCTATCACCAAGTCCTGCTTTTGACTACTGATCATTCTTCCCTGTTTCCAACATTTCCATTCAAGTCCCTAGAAAATGTTTATTCCTCCTTTTTTGCTGGCTCAGACAATGACCTTTGCAGTCCTCAACTTTGTTCATCTTATTCTTTCCTTGATGTTGTTGTCTTCTCATGAAGGTCATGTCCTGCCAGTCTGGGTTTGGTTTTATTTTTCTTCACATAATCCAGGGATCATGCAGATCATGCCAAAGTCGTAGTCTTGCCATCACTAAAGTGGGTTCTGAATCCAAACACAAATATGGTATTTGGTGTGGACTTGTACATTCTTGCTAGTTTTTTCGAATTACTTAGGAACTGTTTGTTGCCTTCCCAGGGTGAAGAACTTCAATAATCATTAGTTTCCACTGCAGTAGTCAGATGGTCATCAATGTCCTATTGATGATCACAGTGTGACATGACAGCAGCTATCACTCACACAGTCAGAGGGAAAAAACAGTGTTACTTTGTTTTAATTTCTTAAATTACAACTCAATAAGCTTTTAAAATACACACCTGTATATGCCCTACTTAAAATGTTATCAACTGTAATTAGACAAAATCTATTTTAAAAAGAAGCCCTTAATTACCTGCTTTCCTGCCCATTTTTTCCATGCTTATTACTGGACATAGTCACATTTTAAGCCACACTACAATTAATCAGAAGCATATTAACATTTCACTCCTCTCTGACTTGCTTACCTCCCTCTGTCTGGGGTACCCTTCCTGATATGTGGCTTGGTATTTTTATATGTGAAATTTTCAAGACGCCTTCTTAATTATCACTATGCTTGTGATTTTTTGTGGGTTTTTATTTTGTCCTTTCAATCTTCATTCATAACTATCCAGCATACCGATAAGGCATATTTGTATTTACTATGATTATCTGAAAGTTCACTTGTATAGATATGTGTATTTGATATGAGTGAAAATCTACTTCTATTTTCCT